TTTTTTTTAGAAAATTTCAAGATTTCTATTATAAGGCGATTTATTAGCCTTTATTCTAACCATGAAAAAAAAATGCAACTTCCTTAAAGTTTCTAGTTTTTACAAAGTTATTTTTCGTATAGATATAAGAAAGTTTAAATCTAAAATATAGGGATTACACCTTTTATAAAGTATTGGTTCCACGTAAATTAGTTCAATTTTGCACACAATCAATATAAGTACAGTAAGATTATTAAGTTAAAATTAATTTATTCATTACTAATTATAGGTAACTATAAAATTCATCAATCACATTTTATTTTAGAGAATGATGAACATATATTTGTGAAAATTGTACGAATACATTTAAGTAGTTTTAGAACAATTAGTAYAGAAATGAAAATAAACATAAGAAGTACAGTAATTATATCTAATAAAAAGTATTGATACCACGTTAAATTAAGAGCTTGAGATTTTAGGTGTGGTGCTCCTTTGTGACGAATAATATATTCTGTCCAGTAAACGACAGACTTTTCTGGTGACATTGGTCGGTCTTTGAATATTTCTGAAGCAATTTTGGCATTGTTAATGTATCTAAAAAAAAAAAATAAATGAATAAGTAATAATACTGGTGATTTCATTAAATGTGTGTCTTTGACAAATACTTACTTTTTGTTGTCCACAAGATCTAATACATTTTTTAAAAAATTGTCTTTAGTTATTGAATATAATTCCATAGATATAGCCATACCTGCCTCAACTAAATTATCTATGTTTCTATACTGATCACCGAATAATGGAAATCCTAAGACTGGAATTCCAGCGTCTACTGCTTCATATAATCCAGATATTCCACCATGACTGACGAAGAGCTTAACATTTTTGTGTACTGTAAATCGTTAAAAAAAAATGAATAAACTATCAATCTATATCAAAATATGTTTTCATGAAAAATCTTACAAAGAACATCTCGTTGAGGAAACCATTTTCGTGTCATGACATTTTTAGGTTTATCTTTCATTTCGCCTTCGTATTTTAATAAAACTCTTTGTGGAAGTTCAGCAAATGCTTCTTTAAATGCGCTTAAAATATTGCTTGGTACTGAAGACATTGCAATAGTTGAACCAAATGTAAATAAAATAACTCCATGTGGCGAGTTTTCAATGAAATCAAATATATCCTAAAAACAATAGATTTCATAGCAAAAATAATTGAATTTTTTTTTCTTCATAATCTAGTTAAATGAAGGATTTACTGAGTGCATTTAAATATAAAATTAAATTTGTTCAACTTAAAATAAACGACTATTATTTAAAAAAAAAAATTGATTTTAATATTTTATTAAGCTAGGTATTTTCAATATTTTGACCATATAAGGTACAACGTTTTTATGTTTTAGTGATAATTTATTATTTGTCATTTAAATAATAAAATTTGATTTCTTTTACTAAAATTAATATATTTTCATTAATTTAATTACTATAGCATACTTGCATACTCAAAAATCTTATTTTTCTTACTAAGCTGTTGAATTACATATGTTTTAAATAATCATATTGATTTATAACAAAACATTATTATTTAAAGAATGAATCTATTTAAAA